AAACAGTGTATCATAAATCATTTTAGGGCAATGATAAAACGATGGCAGCTTTATTTATAAAACATTTTATTTATATTACAGTGAGAGAATACACAATACCTTCAAGTGTTTGCTAAAATGTAGCTAGCACCAGGTACTCATGTACACACACTCACACACAAAACAAAAAGGGAATTTATATAACATCTTCTGAATGGATATTACACATCAGCTAAAAGGGAATATATTCACAGGTCTCTGGCACAGAACTCTCCCTATTCTGCACAGTACCCAAACCTCCCCCACTCTCCTCCTCCTCTTAACTAAATCCCAGCCAGCACACCCTCTCTGCAGCCTCTGGGTTCTTGTGGGAACAAAAGACAAACCATAATGCTGCTGTGACACCTGTCGTGGAGTCTTCTCATGAAAACAGACCCCAGAGTGTCACCTGTATAATAATGGTTAAAAATAAAAAGTAAAGTCATAAAAGCTGGGGTACAGAAGACGGAAAGCTGACCTAAATCCTACAAGGAGTTAAAGCAATTCATCTGGAATTATATAAGGAATTACTAATCGTTCTGCACAGAGGATCTCAAAGTGACTATTTATTTGGCAGAAATAACATTTCACAGAAGTCACTGTGTTGATTTTATAAGCACCAGTGGTCAGCAGGCTCTGGGATGAGAGGGTGCACAAACTCTTCTGCCTTATGTGCAGACTGCCTGTGCTTCGCCCTGATTTCATCCCACCTTCTCTGCCTGCTGACATCCATAAACATCACGCTGTGCTGATGTGCTCTTAGAAAAACCCAACACGCTGAAGTAAATTTCTGTGCACCAGCAACATGAAAGCAAACATCAAATATCAATGTCTGCACTTGCTCCACTGTTTTTCAGAATGAGTCCTAGTTTCTCTGATGACTGTAAAATTGTACTTTGATCCTAATGGGAGTTTAATGAAGAGCCCCTTCAACTTCTTGACATGAATGTTAACCCTTTTTTTTGCAATGAGAAAGGAAGCACTAACATCCTCTGTTGGCTCTTCAGGGGGTTCAAAATAAACACCACTGTGATTGTGACTGATTTAAGGGGTAAATCTCTCTCTCTCTCTCTCTAAGAAAATAACTTTTTCCAAACACATCATTAAAATAGTTTCCATAAACACTATCCATCCAGGATTCAAACAAAATGTTACCCGGCCCAGTCAACTGCTCAAAAACCTCTTTCTGACTGCTGTGCTATGTACATTTTTCAGTGATGCCACTGAAAAACTAATCTCATTTCTGGCCCTAAGCTCGCCCCGTTCACTCAGTCGACATCTGTTGCTTATATTGCTGGGAGGTTCTGTGCAAGAGAATAATCTGATGCCATTAGCATGGCTAGTTAAATTGTTCATTTGACCAACAAACTGAAAAAGGACTTTTTTTGCTACAGTCGTGTACAAATCCTTTGACATGAATGTAAACAACTGCTGACAAAAATGAAACAAAACATCTGTTCCAAAACTTTTTCATCTCCAGGTATTGTTTTGCCCTCCTGCAGTGTATGGAGAGAGAGTGCAGATAGGAGGTGTAATTCATTGAAACAAAATAAAAGAGTTGGTCATCAAAAAAATGCACCAGAGTCAAAAACAAAACCATCTGCTTGTCTAAAGAAACCCTGTCTGCTCACCCTCCCTCTGAAAGCACGAGATGGTAATATTGCTGTCTTATGAGGTCCCCTGATCAATGAGTAACACTATATTTGGGGCGCACCACTGGGAGCGTGGAGGATAACACCTTAAGCTGCCATCAATTGGATTATTTTTTTATCGCTCCTCTCCCAGTGACTCCCAATTAACAAACACACAGTCAACATACAATAATAGTAATATGAAGAAAAAAAAAAACATGCTTCAAGCCCAGAAGTTTTGAACCCCTTTGGTGACCATTTGGGGCAACTGGAAGCTGCCATGGGAGTTTACCAGTGTGATGTCTTTTTTTTTTTTTCTTACATTTTTCCGTGACAGAGGCGGCACTGGCAGACAGGCGGGGGTCAAGAGGGTGGAGAGTGCATGGACTGGGTGTAGAACAACAGTGGCTTCTCAGTAGAGACTGAAGGGGCTTTTTATTTTCCCTTTGAGGTCTTCTCTTCACGTGCCCCTCATAGAAGTGTGTTGGCATGGGAAGGGGTGAACTGTAAGCTTCAGCCCCGCCAGAGATGAGGAAGAGGGGGGATGAGATTAAGAGGAGGGGAGTGTGACCTGAGCAGGTACCGAGGGTTGGAGAGGTGGGAGGAGGTGGAGGAGGGAGGTGGAAGGCTCACCAAGGCACAGAATGACAGCAGGAGTGTCACCCAGGGGAGAGGGGCCAGTGTGTCGG